TTACATCTTAATGTAAAGAAAACCAAATTCTGCAGCAGAACAAGGAGACAGTATCATGATATGTTAAAGAAAATATTGAAGTCAAGTATTTCATTTTCACTTGGATCCAAAGTCAATGATCATGGAAATAAAAATCCAGAAAGCAAATGATGTGCTGCATTGAGCAACTTGGCTGCACAAGACCTCTTCTAAATATCGCAGAACCAGATGTCTGTTTTAGGACTATGGTATGTCTGACCTAAATCATGGTATTTTCAAGTGCCCCACATGCCTGGGACAGCTGGATAATGAATCAGGAAGACTTAAGAAGAATTGATACATTCAGATGCTGGTGTCGGTGTTGGTGAAGACTATGGCAAGTACAATAGGCTTCCAAAGGGGGGGAAATGTAACTTGAAAGAAGCCCAACCAGAATATTCCTTAGAAGCGAGGATGGTGAGACCTTGTCTCATAGCCGTTGACCGTGTTATCAGGAGAGCCCAGCACCTGGCAAAGAATATTGTGGTGGTAAAGTAGATGATCCGTGAAAAAGCCGACAATCAAGCAACCGGATCGACCCAATACCTGTAACAATGGACTCAACGTTACAACCATTATGAGGATGGCACAGGACTGGAACCTGTTGCGTTTTGTTGTATGATTCGGAACTGACTCCAGGCTGTGTACCAGTAACAGGGTTGTAGCTAGACATGGAATCTGATTGTCCACACTCAAACGGAGAATGGCATCTTATGAAGATGATTTTTTTCAGTGGATTTTTGCAAGATTCAGATACCTTGAGGGAATCAGGAGGAGAAATAGAGCCTTAAGACTATCTTCATTAGCACAGGTTTTTAGTATTTCATATTGGCAAAGAGTTTGAAATATTTTTTTATTAATTTCCTGCCATGCCCGTGATGAGTCTGCACTGTCAGTTGTAGATATGGGGGTAGGAAAGTGTGCACTTAGGGTCATAATCAGTGCATGGTAAAGAACTCCTTGGTCAGAAGGGGTATGTTTGGTCTACGACTCGGAGGCATTTCTGAAAGTGGTCCTGCTATTCTTTCATTTACGCCCTTGTGAGTGGTTTGGCAATGAAATGCATTCTAGTCTGGGGAAGATACTAATATTAAATAAATCTATGTTTTTATTCTTAATAGATTTGCTTTATTTACATATTTTTACATACATTGTCCAATAATAGGACCCCAGGGTGCTTTTTCACATAACTGTACTATTATGTGGCATAGGGTCACTAATTAATTAATAAAATATTATATATTGAGTAGTAAATGGGGCTTAGGAACAAGCTTCATAAAGATGTTTTCTTTGGTGGAACAGATGTCAATTGCTGGAATGACACTTGATAGAGGCAAGAAAATAATACACTGTTTCTCAGCATACCCCAACGAGTTCATCTCTATAGTATGCATATGAAATATCATTCTTAAAAACAAAATGAGGACTTTGGACACAATGTTCAAAGGTTAGAATTCACCAGTACCCTGGCAGTCTGTTTCCATAAAAGTTAAAACTTATGAACGTTGTGAGGTAGTTCGACTCTGTCTCTCTCTTAGTCTGTGTCTCCTGGGCAAAGGAGCTTTAGCTGATTTTCACCTAGATTTCATCATGTGTGTCTTTTCCCTTTGCTTATTTGACTGTATATATTTTTGCTGTAATGCGAGCCAATGAGCACAACTCTGCCTGCCTGCAGGGATCCCTGGCCCACCCCTGAACCTGTGGGTGGCCTTGATGATAGCCAATGCAATGTCCCTCTCGGAACATCTAAGCACAAGGAAATTCATTTTATTTTTGTAAGGTAAATGTTCCTTTTTCACATTCACATTTAGTAAACCTCATTTAGCTGAAATACTAACCCGACAAAATTACAATCCTATTTAGAAATTTATAAACTCATATGTGTCAAATAAATAAATAAAAACAAACAAACAAACAAACAAACAAACAAAAACTCATATGTGTCTCTATTTTTCAGTTTCTCTGCCCCAGCCAGAGCATGCATTTTGTCTCTCATGGTAATATACACTAGAAGGGACAGATGTAAAATTCTATGAAAATGCACACAGTCACAGAGAGAACAATAGAACCAGTTTCTCATATTCTTTCAGCATTATCTGCTCAGTGGGGAGCAATATACTGTAAAACCTCACAAGGATGCCTGCTATCCTGAGATACCAGATTTGTTGATTAGAGAGGTTTGTATCCCAGGGCATTAGAAATACAGTTTTAAACCTTTTCCTTTTTTATTAGGTTTGAATGTGCATGGCAGAGGCTTGAAGGTGGCCAGTACGGCATGCACAAAGTCTATGCTTGAGGCATCCTCAAACACACGTGTAGAGGTCATGTAATGCTTTTAAATGACATACAAGGTCAAGGGTTTGTCACATGGGTTCCAAAGATGTGGAATCGGGATGGCAATGTAGGCAGATTCTAGGTCGAAGTAGATTGCCATTTCTCTACCACCAGCGCCAACACCATCACCCACGTTTAGTGTCCTGGTTCGAGGTTGACTTTTTGTTTGAAAGAAACATGATGAATCTATTGTCACTCTTTGTATGGTAATCAGGGGATATTATCGTCGCATACAGGTTTTGGTGGCTGCCGTCAGTTGCCATGGAGTGGGTTCCATCTCAGGGAAACCTCGTGTATGCAGAGCTGAATTGTCCCATAGCATTTTCAAGAAGTAAACTTTCTGAAGTAGATTGCTCCGCCTGAGGGCACCTCTGGAGAGTTTCAATTTGCCAGTCTTTGAGCTGGTATTTCGACACAAAATCTGTGTCACATCCAGCAACAAAATGCCGCACTTTCCCGTGTGGGAAGTAAAGCCAGGCTGTCCGAGTGAAGACCAAAGATCCTAGCTGCGGACCGTATGCGATGTGATTTCAGAGCTGTTTGGGCGGTTAGATGATATAAGCAAACGCATTAAAAAGTAGAGGCATGATAGGAGAAAAAATATTTTATTCCTGCAATATAGAGAGTTGCTATATTTTATTTCAAAGTGGTCCCAACCTCTGGTGGTCAATATCTGACCATGATAGTTGTGGCAAATTCTGTCTCCAGCTCACATAATTGTAGCCATTTGTTATCTCTGTCTGGCTGAGGCTTGTTGTCATTCTCAGGTTTATCCAGTTATAAAAAGAAAGTAACTTTGACTTTTTAAATGAAGTAAGAATATTTTCCACAGGAGATCACCTGTAATCTATTTAGAAATCTTCTGAAAAATTCTGACAGTGATATGGAAAGATATCTCTGTGTGCAATACTGAACCAACAATAGTAATATTTATTTTTTCTTCCGTTAGCTTCTGTAGCAAGCAGCTTTCTCCAGAAACCAAAGGAGTATATTAAATTCCACACTGCTGTGGAATTTTAAAAAGGTAAATATGACTTCATTTATACTAAAGGTCTTAATTTCCACTGGTAATAAAAGCAGAATCAATGGATTTGATTTTTTAAAATTCCACCAGATATTATCATCCTAGTAGAACTCTGCTTGGTTTAAAAATATAAAATCTTTTTGTAGCTTCTCTGAAAGTTGAACTTTTTATACATTTAAGTATGCATATATCTAATTTGCATACAATATTGGTGTACGACAAGGCATGCGATGCTGCGGTATATATCTACAACAATTGTTTGTTTAGCTTCTCTTTAATACCTCATCACAAATCTCATCAAAACCCATTTAATGAGTATGTTGGTAGAGTTGCTTTTGGGAAGCTGATAGATTGCCAAAGCCTTTACATATTCCATTTCTTTCTGATCGTATGAATGTGTCACGCCCATCTCATGGCTATGCTGCAGGGCAGCGTAGAACCGTCCCTGGGGGCTTCCCATAGAAATCAGAGAGGACTCGATGGAAGTGTACGAGTCACCCTTAAAATTGACATCCTTCTTACAACTTGAACTTGTAAGACTCTTCCATCCTGTCCAAATATGGTCATTAAAATTAATGAATGTCCTTGTGGGAGGAAGAAATCTCTGACGGAGTTATTATGACTGCTCTTTTTAGTGGTTTCCTGCTTTGTACTTAAACATCTCTGCATAGATCTCTCTTGGCCCATAATACACACAATAGTATTTGAAGTAAGGTAAAAGACAAGCCAATGGAATCATTTAATAAATGTCGTTTCTGAATTCATCTTCACATAAATAGTCCTTGAATCAAGAGACTATGTCTGCTAGTATTCACATGTAGACTAATAAGCCAATTTCTTCCACAAATCTTCTCCTCCAGTGTAAACCACAACTCACAACCAGGATGTTGATGCTTGTCTATCGGGGAATGAGAAACTATCTAGTGGATGAGGAACAATGATCTATCTGTCTAGTGTATTCCTACCATCATTAGGGAAGAAGCAGAAGGATTTGGCAACATGATTCTAGGTGCTCCACTGTCAACTGTCCTTGAGCCAATTCCAAAAGACACTAATCCTAGAGCGCAAAGTAGAACTCTTTTACAGGGTTTCTGAAACTGCACATCTTTCTGAAAACAGCCATATTTTTCTCCTTCAGAATATCGGGTGGGTTTGAGCCATCAACTATGCTGTTAGCAGGGCAACATGTTATCACCGCCCCACTATGGATCTTCACATTTCAAGGTAGAGAGTATTTTTAAGGATACCATGTGTTAGACAATGTTAGCTTTAGAAGCAAGTGTGCTGAACAAAATAACTTCCAGAGAATTATAATCTTTTTTGACAAATGCTGCATGGTAAAGCTAAAGAAATCTAAGCGCAGAATAAATCCAATTGTCATTGTCTATGGGTGTGCTAGTTCTGGAGAGAGGTGACATTTATGTTACCTTTACTAAACATTATGAAAACCTTTAAACTTCAAATCCAAAGTATGGCCTTTGAGCAATGTCCTATTTCTTTAATAATACCTTTAAATGTCAATTCTATCATTCTGATGGTGAATATTTGGAAAATTCTATCACAATGATCAAATAGTCAAGTAAACCTCTCCAGGACTATAAAAATGTTTGAAAACAATAAAATAACGCTCAGTTCCCTTTCCCATCGGGTCACAACGCTGGTCTGGGTGGTCGTAAAAGGAGGAGAGGAAACATTGAAGCTGCCTTGCATGCTCTCGGAGCTCGGGCTAGTTTCAAAAAGGGTAAAAGAGAAAAAAGCACAACAATAACTGAGAAAGATAAAGTGAGGAGTAGGTACAGTGCAGTATCAAGGCAGGAAAGAAAAACAAACAAACAAAAATGCCCAGGAAAAGGGGGTTGAAGTTAGTTCCTAAGACGCCTGCATACTTGTATCATCTAGATGTTTATGCTGACGTTAAGAGCATCCTGGTGAAGATAATGGGGCCAACTACAAGACGGCCATTGAAACCATCACACACACAGAATACTGTCTTCTGAAAGTCAGTTGACCTTCTGTTCTTGTTCTTGTGATTAAAATTGTTGCCACTGAGTTGGTTGTGATTCGTAGTAACCTTCTATGCAACAGCACCAAACACTGATCAGACCTGCGCCATCAGCAGAGTTGTTGCTATGCTGGAGACTTGAGCCTATCTGGAAGCCACTATGTTAATCCATGTCATGAAGGGTCTTCCTCTTTTTCGCTTTTATTGGGCATGAGGTCCTTCTCCATGGACTGGCCTCTCCTGACAACATGCCCAAAGTATTAAAGTTGAAATCTTCCTATCTTCTCTTCTAAGGAGCAAGCTGACAGAACTTCATCCTAGACAGATTTGCTAGGTCTTATAGCATATTCATCAACTGATTTTTCCCCCTAATCACCTCCTGAAGGGGCATCAGTTATTCTGTAGTCTTCCTTAGTGATCACCTACCTTTCTAATGCATCGGAGGCATCGGGAAAAACCATGACCTGAGTCAGGTACACTTGCAGACCTAAAGGGGACACCATTGATTTTCAACATGTTTACAGTCAATCCATAGAATGTAATGCATCCTTGATTTCTTGATGGGTCTCTTGTGGGTAATGATTGTAGCTCCCAGTAACATGAAAATTTGAACAACTTCAGTTTTTCTCCAATTATCCAGTTTTGAGGATTTTTGTTTTCTTTGTTACAATGTAATCCATCCTGAAGGCTGTACTCTTTGATCTTCTTTACTGAACATTTGAAATCATGTTTCCATTCACAAAGCAAAGCTGTATCATCTGCCAATTACAAGTTAGTGATCTTTCCTCAAATCCTCTTCAAATATTGCAGCTTCTTGATTAGTTGGTCCGACATTTCTGAAGTTCAGCTGACATCAGCAATTATATTGTTTATACCACATCCTCTTTGAAAGCCATCCTGAATGTATGTGAATTCCCTGTTGAGGTACTGCTGTTAATTATTTTTATGTTCTTTTCTGTGAAATTTTACTTGTGTATATGATTAATGGTATTGCTTAGTAATTAGTCACAAATTGTCATTGTAATAGGAAAACTTATTGGCCACTTCAAAATAGTAAAATCTAAAGGTAAAAATACTCTTAATATTCACAATTCTGTGATAAGATAGATATAGTCAAATGACAACACACAGAATCCAGGAACAGGAGTGAGACTAGCAATATCAAAAGGGTAAAGGGTAGAAGGGGAGAGAGAGGGAGGAAAGGGGAACCAATCACAATGATCAACACACAACCATCCCCCCTTCTCCAGAGAGAAGAACAACAGAAAACATGGGGGAAGGAAGACAGTGGTTGGTGTGAGAGATGAAAATAATAACAAAGTACAATCTATCGAGGTTATGAGGGTGGCAGGGGGAGGGAGGGAAAAAAAGAGCTGATACCAAGGGCTCAATAGAAAGTAAATGTCTAGAAAAGAATGAAGGCAACATGTGTACAAACATGCCTGATTCAATTGATGATGGATCGTGATGAGTTGTAAGAGGCCCCAATAAAATGATTTTTTAAAATGCTGAAGGAATTTGGGAAACTAACAACTGGACATTTCCACATATATAATAAACAATATAGTACATGTGAACAGTAAGTATACATGTCATAAGAGAGTTACATGACTAATCTAAAGGACAACTAAGCGAGGTCTTCTTGAAGATACTTATGAAAGAACTTGTAGGCCAGGGTGCAGTAGAGGGAAAATCAAAAGAGCAACAAGCAGCTACTAATCAGTCTTGACTGAAGAAAACTATTGAGCTGGAAAAGATAAAAATGGAGGTAGAGAGACCAGTTAGAAGGCTCTGAGACAAATTGGGAAGGTTTTAGGCAGGAAATAGTCACTAAAGATCCAAACCATAGCAGGAACAGAGTCTAGAAAGAAAAGAAATCATTTAAAAATCTTTAAGGAAGGTGAATGAATAAAACATTAATTTCGTTATTCTTAGAAACCTACACTGTGCTTACTATGTAATAAGTAGGTGTTCAGAAATAAACTTAAGGGAAAAATGTATACAATAAATATGCTGCCATTAAGAGTGTGGTTGCCATTCCCAAATGGATGAGAATCCAGGATAATCTGTATGATCCCATTCCAGATGCCATCCTAAAGACACGTCTTACCAAATGTTTTTAACCTATTAAATATTTCATGCCAAGTCATATCTTTATTATAGATCCCCAAACTTTGACAAACATAAGTATTTTGAATTAAAAGCTCTGGGATCAAAAGGAAAGTATTTCCTTTTAAAGTACTGTGATAGGACATAAGTAGAAAATGTGCATATGTTTTAAATCTTAGACATCATTAATCTATTCCTGAAAAATTCTAGAAAATGTGAGTCATTAAAAATGAACAAACAAAAAATGTTGATCTGGCATTCATTTGCTGTGAGCTTATGATCACATGACTAAAATTTCTGTACCTCCATTCTGGCATCTATTAGATCATAGAATTATTTTTTATTGTACAGGGTTTGGGGGAAATAAATGTGTTTTTTTGTAATTTAAAGATGCTTAGTAAGTGCTGTCAATATTTAAGGTTAACACTTACCTCAATCTATCTCATCAATTAGCTGAGAGGACATAGTAGATCTAGGTTCAGTTCTATTATTCTACCAAGTTAACTACTGAGCCCAGTGACTATACTACTAGTCCACCTACTATGTCAAACTGAACGTGTCTGGTAAACTTTTCTTTTTTTAACTATGAGTTTTGGTAGACTCAGTGACTATATATCTCTCTACCACTGATACTTTCTTTAGAAAATAGAGACCTTCCAGAGACACTAAAATATTATGGTCCAAGGATAAATATAAATTCATGAAGAATGAGTTCAAAAAACACTTTATTCATTCATTTAATGGTTATTTTGAAGTCTTTTAGGTGGAAGGTACTAATATCTGTCCTACTTACAATTTTTATGTACAGAGCTGATCGAAGCACAAGTCCTTGCCTGAAATACTCCACAGTCTAATAACGGTACTGAGACATATGGCAAGAGGCTCTGTTATTGAAGGTTTAGATGCTTGTGCAGGAACCAATGAATGCACGGAAGACCTTCTTATCAACTCTGCAAGCAAGCGGCATAAAAATATAAACCACGAATCATCCTGAGATGCCGGTTCTCAATTGAGAAATAAGAGGGAAAAGCAAATAGTGCCCACTAAGAAATAATATCCAGCTTTGATTTTTATAAACAACAAAACATTTTATCACCCTTTGTTATCAAGCAATCCCTTTCTAAACCTACCTAGCAACAAGGGTACATAATCAAGCACTGAGAGGGTCCATATCCTTCCTGGAGAATTTTCATATGCTGCTTTTTTATAGACGTTTTCATTAGAACCACTCACTTGCTGTCACATATTCAGAGCATCTGCTTTCCCATTTAGTCTGTCTCTAAAGGTTCTTTGATCTCAATGTTCATAGAGCAATGTGCATGGGACTAAGTCAATGTGTTGTGTTTACAGAGAGTAGATGGCTATAGATTCTTTCATTTGATATTTGGGGAGGAGAAGGAAGATAACTTTTGTCCTACATGATAAAGTGGGAGGCAAAAAATAAAATGCTGTTTTTAATGGGGATGGTATATCCAGTTTAAAAAAAATAAAACAAAGGTGCATAGTTTGGGTTTGGGACTAGTACATGCAGCTCAGACAGATCTTGTATGAAGGGACAGAAAGGTATGTAAGGTGATGAGAGATGTCATTTTTATCATGTTCTTGTTATTGTTTCTCTCAGGATAGTTCCGTGGTAGAACCAATATGGGCAATGCCACTATAATATCCTGCTAAATAAATGGATTTCAAATATGCTAAATACAAGTAGGAGCCAAAATGGGTTCATGTGTTGGGAGCAAGGAAGAGAAGCCATTTTTATTTGTCAATTCAGTAGTTTTTTTCAGAAAAACAGTCTTGGATTTTGACTTATGACTTTATTGACATATTTTCCAAGGGAATATTAAGATGATGAGGCAAGAAATCAAGCTGAACTTATTGGTGTACATATAGGATCCAGATAGACATCTGGTAAGGATGATGATAATGCTGATGTTCCTTCTCTGACAGCAACAACGGACAGCTTATTCACAGAGGAGACCGGTGTAGGAAAGCTAATGAACAAATAGTTTTACATATTATCTTTAATAAAGATTATGTCAAACTGAATCCCAAACACAGTCAGACATGGAAGACTAAGAGACCCCAGGGAAGTCTTGCAATGAAGACTATTATTTAGGATAACTGTTCCTCCATTTAGGTCTGTATACTTCTGAAATCTGAATTTTTATGTCTCTAACCATACTCCAAATAATTCTGAACTCTGAGATTTGCATCACATCCAAAAGGCAGTTTTTTGCATCCCCAACGGTCTCACCTGGTGCTACTTTTAATGTTCTTTGAGTTTTGGAAACTCAAATAAGTCTGAAGGTATAAGATCAATGTTGTAGGGTTCATAAAATAAGGCTTCCCAACAAAATTATCATAGGACAAGCAAATGTGGTGGAGAAAGCTAATGGTGCCCGGCTATCAAATGATATAGTGTCTGGGGTCTTAAAGGCTTGAAGGTAAACAAGCGGCCATCTACCTCAGAAGCAA